GCCGGTAATGCCTAAAACATATTTTAGTTTCAATTTTCGTTATGAGCTGGTAAGGCCGCTACCTTCATCATCTGCTTCAACTCAGGTGACATACACAAAAGATGTGTTCAGACAAACTGGGACGGTCGCTTGATTATGCTATTGTTGTATTTGATCAGGTTTTCGCCGACTGGATGAAAACGTTCGCGTCCCAGGTATTTGCATGGAAAAGGAAAAAGGATTGTCGAGCACTGGATCAATTTCTCTATTGTCGTGAGCATTGCCGCAAGCGGCTGCCCACACCTATGAGACGGGCCACGACTTTAACTTTGCAGCTCCGAGGATAATTACTCACGCCTTCAGCAGTACAGAACGTGAACTAATTGAAGCCTGGGCCTCGGACGACAACTCAGTGGACAGATGTATCGACCTGGCTCTCGCATATATCGCCCTCCGCAGACATATCCGCACGGCTGATTAACCAGTTCCTTCTCACCCCCTCTATGACAGTCAATTGGTTTTTACATCCTATAAATGTTGCTTGCTTCTCATAGATACTTTTATCTCTGACGATGGTCTCCCGCAAGAGCCCGAAAGCTCAGAACAAGGAACAAATTGATCTGGCGCTCGTTCACCCTTCCACCCTACCCATTTTGCAGTCTATTTTGTAGCTCCTGGGCTAACTACTTCCCTTTGAGCCGCTCCTATGGTTCATAACCTGGCTAAACCCGGTGAGAGTATTTCGGTTTAAAACCTCTTTAGAGAATTAGATCAACCTTCTTCTTGCGAATCAGAGCAAGTTTAGGGATGTAGAGTGCAGTGGAGTAGATAGTTTCGTAGAAAGTCTTTCGAGACTGAAGGCATTCATTCCTAAAATCTCTTCTTCAGGTTGGTACACTGACTTCAGAAGATCTTGGGACAAGTCGAGGTGTACTGAAACACATTTCTTTGGCTTGTCTGCTTTCGCTATCTGAAGTTCCTGTACTGCTAAGCACTATCCCCGAAGTGGCTGGGTCTTCTTTATTTGATGATGATTATGCACATTTAATGACGATGTATTGGTTAACATCAACTTTGTGGACCTTTCCTTTAGGTAGTGGCATATTCATATTTTGTATCGACAAGAAGAGGTTTTTCAAAGCTGTCACAACTGTCAACTGTTCAGATAATATCCGGTTTTCTTACTCAACGTTTCCTGTTGGTTGAAGAGGTCGAAGTCGTCCGAATTCGCTCGTGATGTCTTTAGTGATCAACCCATTGCCCGACAGAGACAGTGGATACTGGAATGGCCATTCCTGGCTCATTAGCTGACATCAGCCAGTATTATACTGCGTCTGCCACGACTTGTACTTACTCATGACAGCTTATTTCACGTCGTTGACTGCAGGCCAACTCGCAGGTTTATATGCGGGTAAGCTCAAAGCAAGTGGATACGCCCGCTTCATATCGTTGGCTGCAGACTGCAGAGCACACATCATGCCCTCAAGGCTTCCTAATAGCGCACACGCGCACGGACACAACTGACGTGGAGACACCGCTGGTAGCTACTCCGTCTTACCTGACTCTTGATTTAGGAAACCTTTGTGTTTTCGACACAACCACCTTCGACAGCCTCTATGGCATTCTCCCGTATGGGGACTCGCAGCCGCAGACTCCGTTTTATGTTTGAACCTGTTGTGTGGAATGGGGGACCTGGTCATGCGTGGCGCGGATGTTACTCAGCTCCCCGGCTGCTCTCGTTTGCGTATTCTAAAAAACCACTTTGTACCTATGTGAACTTATATTTACTGGGAGGAAAAGCTAATCAATAGATTTTGCAAGCTTTGCATGCACTTCTGGCTAACTGTTATCATGTTTTATCAATCAGTCTCCTCCAGCACTTTTTCATTCCCAGTCGTAGAGGACGAATGTAGACGACAATGATGATAGGCACGAGGACAAAGTGTCCAATGATCAAGAGTTCACCACATTGCTGAACCTGGGTGCCTATGACATAAGTGGTGAGATCCACAGCACTGGCGAACTGGTAGAGTTGGTCATAGGAGAAGAACAGCAGATAACTGACGAACAGCGGGGTAATGCACATTGAGCCCGTTATCCCGCTCGAACACACAGCAGCCGCAGCGGTAGTAGTAGACAACTGACACTCACTGAGGCCTGTGTTGTAGAAGTGCAGCAGTTCCAACTTGTCTTCACGTTTGCAGCCCGCCGGCGTCCTCAACAAACGCCGAAGGCGAACACTGATGTAGGCCAGGACGCTGCCATCAAAAACAATCAGAATCGCTATCCAGAGGTAGACTTGTGCGTATATTAACGATAGGAAGGGGATGTTAATCTTACGATTTGAGCAGTTGCAGTCATCACCCACAAGATTCACCGACAAGGTCTGTGGTCCGGTGATTAGCACACTGAAGACAGTGATTACAGTGCTATACGTGGGTATCTGATATTCCTCTGACAGCATCTTGTAGTCATCGGCACCGGTCATGTCCAGGTAACGGTAGACGCCAAAGAAGAGGAATTGGGAGGCGATAACCACGAAGATCCAGTAGAGGAATCGACTTTGCCAGAAGATGCAGAGGAGGCGGTTGAAGTGGTAGCTGGGTGTCTTTTGCACTTTCGGTGCTACGTCCTCGACTAGGTTGACCCAACAGGCCAGCATGCAGGATACGACCAGGCCTCGCAGGAGTGCTAAGCTCGTCTTACAGGGTCCTCGCAGCATAAATAGGAGGATGGCTACAGCAGTGTTCAGTAGAAGTCCTAGGGCTTCAAACAAGATGAGCAGGATGTCAAAGACATCAGGCCATTGGGTTGAGCTACTGCAATACCAGAAGGTACTAGACTCGCCCATGCCTTCTTTGAATAATGCAAACACACTCCAGTTGACCGCAGAATATATAGACGTTGTTGCCCTTTGTCGGATGCGCTGACCAATAGGCGCTTTCCTCAGGAAGCGCAATACTTAGATAGGAGTTTTTCTCACATAGCTTAGACATAAGGCACCCGATAGGCATAATAAGTTTTATATCACACAGGGTGTCTGCTGCTCAACTAAATACTGACGGTTCACTGATGACGCGATGTTATTATAAACGGTAGGTAAAGCCTGTGTGAAACACGTGTTTAGTAGACCTGTTTGCATTTCATCAAATTTATTTACTACTCAGCTGCTAAGTGACAATTTACAAGCATGTTTATGCCTGTCTTTTAAGTACTATCGGCCATTTTTGCTTCAATAGTTTACAACTGTGCTGACTGATACGTCCTTAAAAATTTATGATTCACTTTTCAGGATTTCATCAGGCTTGTCCTAAACGGCAAACTAGGCGCTTCAGCAGTCCATACTGTCTAAAGCTCTTGCGGAATGCGGTATATTGACATTATTTGCGCCATCATGTAAAGCCGTCGGTACTGAAACGTTAAATGCATGTTTCCTCAGGTAGGCATTATGAATACTGAGTTTGAGAGCCTTTCGATTTGAATCTAACTATTACTGAAATAGTATGTGCAGTAGCTGATTTATCTAATGGACTGGTAATCGAAATTTATAAAAACGTATTATTTAAAATAATTTTTTCCCAAGCATAAATTTGAATCAGACGAAAACGGCAGAATTTATTTGTACAAAGAAAACATATTATACTAGAAAAGAAAACGTATAAAGATTTGTAATATTCATTGTCTTTCTGTAAAATCCCCAGGTATTTATCTGACGACCGAATGCTAGTTTTCATTAGCGCTTTTATTCGGTAGTTTGCCACATCCTCTCTGGAAAAATACCACTTAAGCACTAGGGATTGCCCAGATTTACTTGCATTGAACTCACGACCACAACATGTTTCTAGAAACTATTAATATAGATACATTAATATTAATATACGCAAATATTTGGGGTCCAGATATCATACCGTGTTCACCATTTGCGGAAGAGGAAGATGA